GGCTCGGGGGGCCGGAGGCAGGAGGATGCGGGGGGTATGTGAGGAGAGGCCCGAGGCCTGGGAGGACAGGGGCCCAAGGGGGATCTCGGGGAGGATCCCGGGGGGTCGGGGGTATCTCGGGGGTCGGCTCCCGGGAGGTGTCGGTCCCGTGCTGCCTCCGGTCCCTGCAGCGCACTCGGTTCCGGCGCCAGCCCCGGCTCCGCTCCTGGTCCTGCCCCAGGTCCCGGCCCCGCTCCCACAGCCCGCGGCCCACCCGGCCGCCAGAGTCCTGCGGTTGCTAGGCAACGGGAGCGGGGGGGCGGGGCCTCGCCAAACAGCTTATGGCGATGGGCGCCTGCCCCGCCCCGTGCGGCACCCACGAATCAACGTCGTCGTTCCTTGATGGGCAGCGGCACAGCCCAATGAGAAGCCCCGCAACGGCGAGTAACCGTGAGGGGTGTGAGCCGCCATCTCGTCTGCGGAGAGGAGCGCGGCGGGGAGCGGAGGCCCGGGAGGAAGAAGCTCGGGCCGGTGGAGAGGGAAGGCTCCTACACTGCTTTTCTAATAGCTGTACAGTAGGGAAGAGGCATCTCGAGCGGTGTGTGTTCACAGCAGCGTTCTCTCCGGGCCCGCTGGCAATGCATTCCTGAGACTCCTAAAAATAAGATGGAAAATAAACTTTATACCCCGCCGGGATCAAGTCTCGCGGGCCCTGGTCAGTCGTAAAAGAGTAAAAATGAAGTAGGGGCGGTGTGTCAATGAGTCGGTGCCCAGGAGCCTGAGGGGGCTGGCTGTGGCACTGCCCATGGCGAAGCGCCTGCCCGAGGGACGGCGGGAGATGGCGGGAGCCGAGGGAGTTGGTGGCTGAGCCACCCATGGCACCCTCCGGCTGTGACACGGGGCCGTCCCTGCGGGGCCCGGGTGAGGAGAGCTCGCAGGAGGGCCGGAAAGTCACGCTGAAATACCCTCTGAGGACACAGTGAGTTCACGCGCCTCGGGCAGGCTGGGGGTGCGGAAATCGAGACCATGTTGCGGTATTAAATCACATTGAGTATAGTCTGACAGGGATTTGGGACATCAGAACACCAGCAACCAAGAAATTATCCCCGATGTGCTCTCAAAGAGGACTGATTTTATAGGACTCTGCATTCAGGGCCATAAAAGTGCTAATGAGCTCTAGCTGATTAAAATGCTGACGCCGCACATGCCTGGTTACTTGGTTACCTGTGAATTAGCGACCTCTGCGAAGAACCCGTAGGCCCTGGAGGGCTGATGAGAAGGCCTGCCCTTGACCTGCTGTGAGGTCAGGTGAGCTGGGGAGAGGGGGGCTTCACTTTCCAGGAGGAACCTTGGCAAAGTGCCGGGTGCCAGCCTGGGCTCCGGTGGTGCCAGCTCCATCCTCGGGGGCAGGAGCCAGCATGAAGCAGTGGCACGATGGCTGTGACATCCCCAGGCAGCCTTTACTTCTGTGCACAGCGTGTCCGAGCCCGGTAATATCTCCAGCACTGGGGACTGTGCCCACTGGTCCAGCACGTCACCAGTTATTAATTATATCCCTACACAAAGCAAACTATGGTCTGGTGATGAGAAAGGCAGTGGGACCACCAGGGCCAGACTTTTAAGGCCTGGCACTGGTGAGGATGGATGAGAGGACACCCATGGAGGGGGGAGGCTTGTCCAGATCTGCTGCCTCCCTGTACAGAGTGGGACTGCAGAGGAGATGCAGGAGGAGGGCAGAGCTGCAGAGTGCAAGGTGGGCACAGGCCTGTGTCAGCTCTGGGGTGTCAGGGGAGGCCCCGAAGATGCTGGGAGGGCTGGAGCCCCTCTGCTGGGAGGGGGGGCTGAGAGAGTTGGCGGGATTCAGCCTGGAGAAGAGAAGGCTCCAGGGAGACCTTGGAGCCCCTTCCAGTCCCTCAAGGGGCTCCAGGAGAGATGGGGAGGGACTCTGGGTGAGGGAGGGGAGCCACAGGAGGAGGGGGAAGGGTTTGACACTGCAAGAGGGGAGATGGAGCTGAGATGTGGAGAAGAACTTGTTTGGTGTGAGGGTGGTGAGAGCCTGGCCCAGGTTGCCCCGAGAAGCTGTGGTTGCCCCATCCCTGGAGGGCAGGTTGGAGGGGGCTTGGAGCAACCTGGTGTGGTGTGAGGTGTCCCTGCCCAGGGCAGGGGGTGGGACTGGGGGGGCTTTAAGGCCCCTTCCAACCCAAACCAGTCTGTGACTCTATGGTTACCTGGCTGAGGAAGCAGTACCTTACACACAGGCCACCTCCCACCCTCAAGCGACCCATCCAAAGGACCAGTTCAAAGGTAACACCAGGATCTGGTGTCAGGATAAGTCTGGGTTTGGGTCAAAATTGCTGCAGCCACTGGCACAAACGCAAAGCTGGCAGATCCCCAGCCTGCTGTGGGATGCAGCCTGCTTGCTGTGTCTGCAGGGCTGGGACAGGCTGTCCCTCAGCCTCTGGAGAAACCACAGAGCTGTCCAGAAACACCACCTCATGCTCTGAGTTGGCAGATGCGATCTTGTGGTCATGCTGGATACAGATCCAGCAGATCCATGATTTCCTGGCTGCAGGGGGATCGAGAGCCATGGTATTTAAGCAGAGTAGGGCTGTAAGATTCCAAAGGCGATGTGTTCTCAGCAGGGTGTTTCCATCACAGCATGGAGAGGCGGCCCTTGGGGCATGGAGAGCTGCTGCTTTTCCTGACGTGGACATCAGGGGTCAACCCTGGCCCCTGGGAAAAGCTGCCACTTGCCCTGCACACATTTTGGCAATTCAGCCTGTTCTGAAAAGAATGTCCTTTTCTTTCCAGAAGCTGAGGAGTGTTTTGAGTGCTTCATTTGAAACGGGCCACCGCTCTCCAAGAACTGCAGACTCAAGCTGTGGAGATGAGATCTACTGCCAACGGGAAGGGACAGAAGGGTCCTTGGGACGTACAGGGAGAAAGGATGATGGAGTGGTGGATCACATCCAAACTTCCTCTTGAGTAGGGAAGACCCATGGAGCACTGCAGTGTCCTCCTGGATGTGGGAGGCTAGTGACCCTTAGGTGGGGACAGGGTGATGACAATTCCCCAGAGCAGTTGGACTGGTCCTGCAGCTCCACGAACCGCCCCGGGCAGCTCTTCTGCCAGCAGGGAAACCAGGTCGATTTGGAAGCCGGATGGAACGTCACCGAACCTGCGTCAATCCAGGATTCCTCATTCAGGATGTGGAAAAAACGCAGATTCATCCTGAAACAATTCGCCTCGCCCAAAGCCACCAGCTTTGGACGTTGGTGCCCAGGTGCTCAGGTGGGCCGGAGGTGCCCAGGAATACAAACTATGTGGGCAGGGGAGCGGGCGGGTGTCTTGGTTTGAGTGACACAGGGATAATTTCTCTTCTAATGCCTGAGAAAACTGCACTTCAGTGTTTTCCAGATCCTCAGGTGTAGGGATAAGGAGGATCAAGACCTGGACACTTGACCCAAGCTGCCAACAGGGTTATTTCATACCATGAATGAAACGTTCAATATATCAATTAGAAAGTTTCCTGAGGAGTTCTCTCTCTCTCTTTCCCCCTTAGTGGCTGCCATCCTGAGAACTCCTTGTCCCGGTGCCGGAGCCCTGAGCCCTTCCCTTCCTCCCGAAGCCCCAGCGCTCGCAGGGTCCCACACTGGCTGTGCCTGCAGGGAGTGCACGGCTTCTGCTGGGGAATGGGCTGGGGACAGTCCTGGGGTGTTTTATATTGGTATCGGGATCAATATTGGCTCTTTAGTGTTATTGATGTTAATGATCTAGTCTGATTCTATTAAATCTGTTTATATTTCAACCCTTGGGTTTCTTTATTTTTTCCCCAATACCCCTTTCCCTGACCAGGAAGGGGTTATTGAGTGATAAAATGTTTGTCTAAATGACAGTAAATTGTTGTGGGTTTCTCAGACCATAACATGGGGAAGTTCCAAGCAGGGAGGGGACATGGAGAAATGCTGCGTGGGGGTACAGCCCCGGCACACTGTCCCCAGCCATATTGAGACACGAGGGCCTTGTGACTGAACACCTAAACATCAGAGACCTTCCTGGCCCCAGCATCTTTCACCCCCATAGGAAACCCTCTCCAGACACTGAACCCCACAGCTTTGTGGCTGAGGGCACCACAGCTCAGCACAGCACCCCAATCTGGTTGGGACTTTCCCTCCTGCCACCCTCCATGCTCCGGCTGCAGCCAAAGCACAGCCACAGTGGGGGCAGAAAGTGGATGTGATGGAAAGCACCTTCTCCTGCTCCTCTGCACACCAGGAGCTACGAGCTCCAACGGTGCCCTCAGCACTGGGCTCCGCAGCGTCTGGAGGCACACAAGGACTTCTCAGGCTGCCACCATGCTGGCACAGAGCTCAGCATGAGGGGGTGCATCCCCAGTATTGTGTGCAGGTCTGGAGCCCTCAATATAAGAAGGACATGGACCTAATGGAGCGGGTCCAGAGGAGGGCCACAAGGATGATCAGGGGGATGGAGCACCTCTGCTCCGAGGACAGGCTGAGGGAGCTGGGGTTGTTCAGCCTGGAGAAGAGGAGGCTCCAGGGAGACCTAATAGCAGCCTTCCAGTACCTGAGGGGGCCTACAGGAAGGCTGGGGAGAGCCTGTCAGATTTAGACTGGAGATGAGGAGAGGGTTCTTCACTGTGAGGGTGGTGGAGCACTGGAACAGGTTGCCCAGGGAGGTGGTTGAGGCCCCTTCCCTGGAGATATTCAAGGAGAGGCTCGACGAGGCCCTGGGCAACCTGGTCTAGTTGGGGGTGTCCCTGCTGACTGCGGGGGGGTCGGACTAGATGGCCTTTGGAGGTCCCTTCCAGCCTGGGCAATTCTGTGATTCTATGATTCTATGACAGACCATCTGCTGCTACCTGTAGAATAAGAAACTTTGACCCTTTTGCCTCCTCCGTGGCTTCAGGCAGGAGGACAGCTCTGGTGCAGGAGTCATCTCAAAGGAGAAGCAGGGAAGTGCTGCTGGGAAGCCATGCAGACAGCAGGCGGCCGCTGACATTCTGCTTCTCTGGCTGTTTCCTACCAGCCTCTCACAGCTGGGAAGGACGATAATGGCTATGGACAAGGGACCTGTTCTCATGTCTTTGAGGACTCTGTACCGTGTGCTGAGCCCGGGATGTGTCAGCTCCTCCTCTTCTTGGAGCCTCTGGGGTGAGGAAAGGCCCCAGGATTCTGCCCAGATCCTGTCTGCTTCCTTCTGCACCCCAAAGTCAGAGCTGCAGGGAGGAGAAACATGGGTTACACATCAGTTATGGTTGGACTAGATGATCTGAAAGGTCCCTTCCAACCTAGACAATTCTATGATGGCTGCACTCAAAGGGATGCAGTCAATAGCTCAATGTCCAAGTGGTGACCAGTGACAAGTGCTGTTCCGCAGGGGTTGGTACTGGGACCAGTGCTGTTTAACATCTTTGTTGGAGACATGGACAGTGGGATCAAGGGCACCCTCAGCAAGTTTGCTGATGACACCAAGCTGTGTGGTGCAGTCGACACACTGGAGGGAAGGGATGCCATCCAGAGGGACCTGGACAGGCTGGAGAGGTGGGCTTGTGCGAATCGCATGAAGTTCAACCAAGCCAAGTGCAAGGTCCTGCACCTGGGACGTGGCAACCCCAGGCACAAATACAGGTTGGGTGGAGAATGGCTGGAGAGCAGCCGTGAGGAGAAGGACTTGGGGGTGTTGGTGGATGAGAAGCTCAACAGGAGCCAGCAGAGCGCACTGGCAGCCCAGAGAGCCAACCCCAGCCTGGGCTGCATCAGGAGAAGCGTGGCCAGCAGGGCCAGGGAGGGGATTCTACCCCTCTGCGCTTGTGAGACCCCACCTGGAGCACTGGGTCCAGTTTTAGAGTCCTCAGCACAGGAAGGACATGGACCTGTTGGAACGGGGCCAGTGGTCCTCCATCACAAAGATGATTGGAGGGCTGGAGCACCTCTCCTATGAGGACAGGCTGAGAGAGCTGGGGTTGTTCAGCCTGGAGAAGAGAAGACTCTGGGGAGACCTTAGAGCAGCCTTCCAGTATCTGAAGGGGCTACAGGAGAGCTGGGGAGTGGGGAGCTTTGTCAGGGAGTGCAGGGACAGGACAAAGGGCAACGGTTTTAAATTGGAAGAGGGGAGATTTAGATTGGATACCAGGAAGAAATTCTTTCCTGTGAATGTGGTGAGAGCCTGGCCCAGGTTGCCCCGAGAAGCTGTGGCTGCCCCATCCCTGGAGGGGTTCAAGGCCAGGCTGGATGGGGCTTGGAGCAAGCTGGTGTGGTGGGAGGTGTCCCTGCCCAGGGCAGGGGGGTTGGAACTCAATGATTTTTAAGGTCCCTTCCAACCCAAACCATTCTGTGATTCTATGATTTGGTGCTGGTGCCCTGGGCTGCTTTGGTAACTTATCCAACCCTGGATGGCACTTGCCCTGCAGCTCTGGCTTCAGCTGTACCCCTGGGGAGCTGTTCATACCCCCCTCTGCTCCACGCATTGCCTGTTTGGAATGACGAGCGTTGTGCTGCCACAGCTCCACTTTCCTTCCAGGTTTGGCTGAAAACATGGACCTCACCAGTCTGTGCCAAGGTGAATGATCCTCTCCTTCTTGAAGCCGTTGGTCAACCACTGGGAGGCAAGAGGTGCCCCTTCCTTAGAGATCCCCGGGTGGAGCTGGTGGGTCTTTGCTCATCACACCACCATTGCCTTCACCTCCGCTCTGCCTGAGCAGAGAAATCAGTGAGTCCCTGGGGTAAGGAGTTTGCTGAGGAGACGAGTGTAGTGGGGTGGCTGTAAGCCCTGAGCAAACTGACTTTTAAAAGGGATGAGACAGAGGAGGGAGGGCCGGAGGTGCTGAGCTGAGCTGTGCAGAGCAGGGACCCCGAGAGCACCTGCTGGGGGCTGGTGGCAGAGGTGTGGGTGAAGAAGGAGAGTGGCTCAGCCAGCAGCACCCTCTGCAGTCTGTGGGCAGCAGTAAGACCAGATGTTCCTGGGAGGAACGTCTCTCTGGGGGTCACAGTGGCACTGAGATCAGTGTGTAATTTTGATCAGTATCTTCTGAGCAGCAGCTGAGGGAGCTGGGGGTGTTCAGCCTGGAGAAAAGGAGGCTGAGGTGAGACCTTCTCGCTCTCTACTGAATGGAGGATGTACCAGGTGTGTCAGTCTCTTCTCCTAAGGAACAGGTACTGAATGGAGGATGTACCAGGTGTGTCAGTCTCTTGTAACTCAGCTCAGGTAACAGCACAAGAGGAAACAGCCTCAAATTGTGCCAGGGGAGGTTTAGGATGGATATTAGGAAAAATTTGTTCACCAAAAGGGTTGTCGAGCCTTGGAATGGGCTGCCCAGGGAAGGGGTGGAGTCACCATCCCTGGAGGGATTTAAACGGTGGGTAGATGTGGCGCTGAGGGACATGGTTAGTGGTGGGCTTTGCAGTGCTCAGTTTATGGTTGGACTCGATGATCTTTTCCAACCTAAATGATTCTGTGATGCCATGATTCTATCAGCCTGCTGAGTCTGCAGCAGGTGGCAACCTGCCGCGAGCACCCAGCCCCTGCAGAGCCAGGTCCAGCAGCCAGCTAACGCCCACAGCCCAGTGTGGCTAATGGTGCAGCTCCAACAGCTCCACTGGTGTCAAGGCCACGGGACTGAGGAGGTAGGAGGGGGCAAACATGTCCAGGCATCGCCCCACGCCTCGTGCTCATCATACCGGGGATGGCTGCTGCGTGCAAGGGCTGGTCCTGCCACGGGGACGCTGGGGTGAAGGACAGCACCAAGCTGGTGGCCTGGAGAAACTGGTGACTGGCTTCTCCCAGCACGGGGAGGACGGGGAGGTGCTCAGATGGGCTGAGCTCTGGCCCTGTAAGCTTGGCACAGAGGAGCACTGTCAGAGCCCCGCAGCTCCTCTGCCTCCACGGCCGGAGGGGGGGACATCCCCGGTCCCCACGGGGTGCCAGGCACTGCCTGGGGACCCCCCCGCCCACAGGGTGGGTGCCGTTCAGAGATGGATGGATGTGGGTGTTACCGTAGCAACGGGGATGAACGGACGGCTCCTGGGCTGGCTGCACAGCTGAAACCGCCCCGTGGCCAGAGGAGGGTGATGGAGGGGGGACAAAGCCGAGGATCTGAAATCAGAAAACGGGGACACAACAAATGAGCAATCGTCCCCTGCTGCTCCTGACACAAGAACTGGGGGCACACCGGGAATTTGCCCAGAGAGTAGATTTACAACAAACTAAAGGGACTTTTTCTTCGCATTCATAGAATCACAGTATGGTTTGGGTTGGAGCTTTCCTGGAGCCCCTTTAGGGACTGCAAGGAGGTCTATGGTCTCCCCAGAGCCTCCTCTTCTCCAGGCACTATATGGAGAAGAGGAGGCTCTGGGGACACCTTCTAACACCTTCCAGTACTTGAAGACAGCCTACAGGAAAGCTGGGAGGGACTCGTGATCAGGGAGGGGAGCCACAGGAGGAGGGGGAAGGGTTTGACCCTGCAAGAGGGGAGATGGAGCTGAGCTGTGGGGAAGAACTTGTTTGGTGGGAGGGTGGTGAGAGCCTGGCCCAGGTTGCCCCGAGAAGCTGTGGCTGCCCCATCCCTGGAGGGGTTCAAGGGCAGGTTGGAGGGGGCTTGGAGCAAGCTGGTGTGGTGGGAGGTGTCTCTGCCCAGGGCAGGGGGTGGCACTGGATGGGCTTTGAGGTCCTTTCCAATCCAAACCATGCTGTGATTAAATGCTGAGAGTCACTGCCCTGGGGTGCTGCAGAGCCCGGACAGGTACAGGAGAGTCCAAAGGTCGTGGAGGACAGGTCTTCTGCAGCCCCGAC